CAGCTAGTTTGGGCTGGATGAAGATGCAGTCCAATTTAAGCAATCACACATTCAGGTGTGCATGTGTGCTCACATGTCACACACACACACACACACACACACACACACACACACATCATATCATACACCAAAACAAATAAGAAAACTGATCTTTGTAAAAATATCCAGAATAATGGTTTCCAAAATATCTGAACACTGTGACCTATGCAAATGGACTGACAAAATTAACTACCAGAAAGCAGGGATGGTAACCGTAGTCCCAACTCTTTGGAATCAATATCCAAGTGACAAGCTAAGCAGATTCTTGAGGAACAACATGAACTCTTCCCTCTTTTGAAGTCTCTCCACCCTCAGCATCTTCCCCATTCCTATACCTCAGGTCCCAACATCAAGAAACACATTTAACTTTGAACCCCCAGTGCCTACACCTATAATATCCCAGAAGATTTTTCTATAGTCAACACATAGCCAACATATTCTCCTAGGAACCACAGAGCAAACAAAACCAATCCAAAAAACAAAAGTCCCACCCCCAAAATAGGACATGATATCAACACCTAGAATTATAATCTTCCCAGTCTCAGATGCCTAGATGTCAGGTGAAAACACAATCAGTAACATCCAGGACAATGTATTTCCACTAGAGCACAGCAACCCTACCATGAATATTCCAACATAGTTTACTACAAGAAAAGACTTAAAGTAACCTGTATGAATATGATAGAGGTCTTTAATGAGGAAACAAATAAATCCCTTAAAGAAATTTAAGAAAATGCAAACAGTAGTGGTAAATGAATAAAGCCATTCAAGACCTGAAAGTGGAAATAGAATCAGTAATGAAAATCCAACTGAAAGAAATCTGGAAATAAAAATTTAGAAACTAGAACAGAAACCACAGTGTCAAGCTTCACCAACAGAGTACAAGAGATGGGAGAGAGAATCTCATGCATTGAAGACAATAAAAGGAATGGGTGGAGCTTTAAAAAAGTTTAAATCTAAAATGCTACTGAAGAAAACATCTGGGAAATTTGTGACACCATGAAAAGACAAAATCTGAGAATAATAAAAATAGAGGAAGAAGAAGAAACCCTGGTTAAAGGCATAGAAAGTATTACACACAAAATCATAGACAAAATCTTTTCTAACCTAAAGTAGATCATGCCTATCAAGGCACAGGAAACATACAGAATACCAACTAGACAGGACCAAAATATAAAGTCTCCTTGGTATATAATAATCAAAGCACTAAATGTACAAAAGTGAGATAGAATGTTAAAAGCAACAAGGGAAAATGATCAAGTAACAGATAAAAGCAGACATATTAGAAATACACCCTATTTCTGACTGTAGACTCTAAAAGCCAAGAGGGCCTAGACAGATGTGTTACAGACTGCAAAATGTTCAATCACTATCTATAGCGATAATAAGACAGTCTGTGATAAAAACAAGTTTAAGTAATAAAATGATCTACTAATCCAGCCTTACAGAAGACTCTAGAAGAAAAACCCAAACCTAAAGTGATTAGCCAATAAAACACAAGGAATAAAAATCCCAGAGTATAAAAGTCAAAAGAAGGGAAACTCACAGATACACAGACACAGACACGCATGTACGCACGCACACACACACGCACGCACACACACAGACATGCACACACGCAAGCACACATGCACAGAGAGACAGAGACAGAGACAGAGATACAGAGAAAGAGACACAAAGAGAGATATAGATAGATAGGTAGATAGATAGATGATAGATAGATAG